ATAAATGCAATTTAAAGCAGCTTTGAATCTATAAAACTATCTCTATTATGCTTTTATCAATAAAATCATAATATAATTTTATCCTCTGCTTTTTACTTATTTGAATAGAAAAATAAGAATGAACTTACGTAATAACCAATCTGTCATCTTCAGATAAAATACTATCACTCAACGTATAATGCACAACGAATTCATCAGCACTATGATCGTCTACTGGCCAATCCCATGTTACACGCATTGCATCACCGAATTCGTATGATGGCTCACAACGGCATCTTTCTTTTCCTTCTTTTGAAAATTAACATTATTTTAATTAAATTCATATTTTGAAGTGCATATATCATTCAGGAATTGGATATGCTTCAAACAATAAATTTAATAATATATTATATTACTTAAGATATTATCATAATTTTGCATTGAAGATTATATAGTAAATAACTCTACCATTATCAACATTATCATTAAACTTACGATGATGGCATAATACTGCTCTCGGTAGACCATTACTACCCGAACGACTATTAAATATATCAACAAACACTGCTGATGATAAACGATATATGCGACAAAAATCAGGACCATAAAAAAGACCATCATATAGACGACTACAAAATTGATATGTTCGTGACTGAAACTGTTAACAATTCATTAGTATTATTTAAAAATTCAACTATGAATTCAAAAAAAAACATTACAAATAGCATAGAATATCTGGGAAAGTAACTTTAATGCAATCAAATGAAATCTTATTAATTAAACTGCAAAAAATGTAATTAAAGCATTGCACTAGAAAATATATACCTCTTAATTTTACATAGTTTTGCCCAAAAATTAATATCTTTGAAGAACAAAAAAGAATTTCATTTTCTATTGCTATTAAAAAGAATTTCCTATTTTCTATTAGCTATTCGTTTCTCAGGGCAATCATTCATCATAATAAAAATCCATCACTGAGTATTTACTATTCTATTTCTATACATGCACATTTCTTTTTTCACTTTCGATTTAAACTTTACTGAAAAGAATTTTAATTAAGCAGTAAACTGCATAATAAGTAGGAAAAGAAAAAAGGAAGGAGAAAGATGAAAATGTTTACTGTATCAAAATTTTCAGTTAAATTCATAGCGCCATTGATGAATAATCCTTCTTCTGCTTTTTCTCTTAACGGTATTACATCAGAACGAGCATAACGGATAAGAACTGCTTGATTTTTTGTATCTTGTGAAGTGAAATTTGAAATTTTATGTGCTACATCCCAGTGAATGATGATTGATGTGTCAACCTGAAAAAAAAAAAGGATAATAATGAGAAAGAAATAACTGATTTAAAAAAAAAAAAAAAAAAAAAAAGATGAGAAAAAAGAATGCGAGATCGTCTCCACTAATTTAGGGTACAAGAAAGTTTTAAAAAAGAATAGAATATCATCACATAAAAGAGATACTTTTTTATTTTTCTTAAATTTGGAAAAAAAAATCTCGAATATAAGTTCAAATTGGATCGAATTAGCCAGATGAGAATATAAATACGGTTATAACCTGTTCGATATCAATGGGTAAAGACTCAATATCGGAATGAAAATTTTTGTTTACAGGCTCCACCATATGGCCAATAAAAGTGAAATTTGAATTTGATTTTAAGTACACATCAGATGGTAGACCACGGCGCGTTACTGGAATAACTCGAAAACGATATACCATTTCTGATTTTATACCTATAATAAATTCTTCTTTAATCTTCGTTTAAAATGAAAGAATTCAAATGACATTTTTCTCTTATTTATGAATTAACATGTTGAATATCATAAATGTAATTTCTTAATTGAATTTATGATAAAACTATTATCATTTTTTAGTATAGACAGGTATTATCTTTATATTAAGATGTTAATTTGAGCAAAAGAAATTGCTGAATTTTGAAAGATGAATTAATATTCTATTTCTCAATTGGATTTTTTTCTGTCTAATTCTAACTCTGACTCTGGTTGGCTTCAGATAGATCAATTGAGAAGATTTTGTATCACAGTAAGGTAATTTCGGCTTTCATCTCGACATTCGTTTAAAGCTTATCAAATTCATTCATTTCTTATTAATGCAAAATGTTAAAAACCTTAAAGACACACAAAATTGACATTCAAAATCAAATACCATTTAAAAGGCAAATTGTTGAGTTGGGCAAAATATTCTTCCTTTTTACTTCATGCAGTGCTTCAGAATCTTTGTAATATTCGACCACATATCTAAAATTTATACATATCTATCGAAAATATATAAATCTACAAATTCTATCTCAAAAAGAAACTTTTATGAATATTAAAAAATTTTTTCAACAATAATTAAAAAGAAAAAAAAAAATATTATGGAATTTTTAAATTCAACGAAAGTGTATTAGTTACTTTTGTATAAAGCCATTTGTTATATCAATCGATGGATGCTGCCATGAAATTTCCAATGTCTCTTCACTTAATCTACTAAATGTAAGCTCCATAGCCTTCTTTGATACTAAAAATAAATTGTTTATATTATAGATTTAATATAAATAATCTTATCTCATAGATTCTTCATGAAAATTCTATAATTTTTGCAATTATGCACAGTCAATTTTAAAAGTAATTAGAAAATCATCATAAATATTTTGAAAACAGGCATAATTGTGAATTATCTTTGAATATTTTCAATTAAAAATATTTGAAATATATTTTTTTTTTTTTTATAAAATAGAGAAAGATTATTATGACTAAGCCTTCAACTTCTCAATACCCTATTAATGCTTGCTTTTAAACATTACATAAATATGGATGATTAAATGCAAAAATTATTAATATACTGATGATCTTTCTCTATTTTGTATAAAAAAAAAACATTTCAAATATTTTTAATTGAAAATGTCTAAAGAAAATTCACAAAAAAAAAATTTCTTTAATTTTAATAAAATGCACCTCCATCCCATGATAAAGCTGTCACATGTTCTGAAAGCGGTGTAATTTTTCCAACTGCATTCGTTTTAAAAAGTGACATTTGAAAAGTGTAATTCTGTCGAGGTAAAAATATGTAATTCGATGAACAACATTTAGCAATACACCAATTATCAGGTGTACAATGGACATTACGCAATGGTACATTATTTGCACTACCACCTTAAAAATTAATAATTTCATTCAATTTATGAAAATTTATTATCTATATGAACGGTAACTCCTAAATTTAAACATTAAATTTATTCTAAAATATGATAATATATGATACTGATGAATTGAAATAAATGCAAGATGATAAATAGTTGAAATCTTATTAGACATCAAAATATAGGAATATTTTCAGAATAACTACCAAACAAAAGATTAACTTATTAATGCATCTTTTATATGAGATTTTTTCAAATTAAAAAAAAACTCACCATTTGATAAATAATAATTCAATAGAAATATCGTATGATCAGCTTCCAGATAATCCATTGTTTGTGGCAAATGCCATTTTAAGTTGAATTGTGCACTAAAATAACAAATTTCTTGTTGAAATAAACGATTAACTATTAGGTTGCAATCAATAAAAATCTTAATCTAAAACAATAACATAAAATCTTATTAAACACCATTTATTATCACATATATCAAACAAAACATCATTATTATCGCTTATTGATTGATTGCGAATATTGAATTATCTGTTTTCAAACTAAGTGATATTATAATTAATTGATCGCAGTGTTTTGTTTTATGTCCGCTAAATCTTGCTGCATATTTTATCTGTTTTTAATCGAATTTCTGCTTGGAAGACAACTTTGATGATTAAAAATGAAATATAAAAATATATGTAAAAATGATAATAAAAACATTGAATAAGAAAAAATAGTAATAACAAAAATTCTACTTCGTATGATCAACGGTAACTTCAAGATTTGTTATCACTGAATCAATTTCAGCTTCAACTATCAAACCGATGAATGTACTTCGTTCACCAATAGCATTACTTGCAATGCACTGATATAATCCCTAAAATTATTTCCTTATAAGAAATATGGAGTAATAATAAATGATAAAATAATAAATGATAAAAACAATGCCAATCAGACAGAAGTAATGAATTAAATAAAATTACCTGATCAGTTTGCTGCACACTTGAAAAGAGCAAATCTTTGGTAAATCTAACCATACTTATACCCATTTCATTGACAGCAATTTCTGATACGAAACCTTCCACAGGTAGTAACTGAATAAACATTAATTAATTTAATGAAAAAGTTTAATGATCAAATTTGATATGATTAATTTTCATCTCTTCAATTCATAACTTTTTCCTGAATATATAGGAAATATTCATGACTTTCCTTCTACTATAATTAAAGTAAAATAATATTCCATTACAAATAATTACTACATACAAATGATAATTGAAATATATAATATATAATTCTTCTTGAAGCATCTTTATATCTTTTCTAAATTTTACAGTTTTCATAAGAAAGACATAATGCTGAATACCATTTTTTTTCAAAATATCTCATTATAATATTGAAATAAATAACTTAGATAAATAGAATATAATCTGTTTATTTGTTACTTCCACGGATCTTTTTTTCTATTTATCTTTTAGATTATCTACTAATATGATAAGGTAGTATAGTTGAAAAAGATTTATTCAACAATGTGAAAATTGATACAGGCTATAACAGAGTTATTGATAGGAAAACTAAATCAGTTCATATAAGATGACCGTTTTTTTTTTTTTTTTCATTTATAAATTGTATGTGATGTACAAGATTACTTTTAATAAATTATAAAATTAAATCAAATTTGATTATTTACATAAAAGGTATAAGGAAGCCTTCATTTAATTTACATAAATTTAATCAAAAAATATAAAAAAGATGCTCTCATTTATAATGCTATCATTTGTTAATCAAATAGCAACTACTCAATTACTTCTATCGTTTCAATTTTACACAATTACTAATTGTGTAAAATTATCACATCTGTTCCTCAAGAATTGAAAAAAAAAAAAATGTGTATGCAGAAGAAAGTAATTCATGCAGAAAAGGATAAAGAATTAGATAAGAGAGCTGATAATAATGAGAAGAGATCAATGAAAGCTGCAGAAAATGATAATATTAAAGTTGCAAAGCAAATAGAAAAAGATGAAAATAAAAAAATGAAAAAACATGAAGGACGATCACATGTTTTCTTTGATATTATCATTAATGGAAATGCAACAGGACGTATTATAATGGAACTATTTGATGATATAGTACCAAAAACAGCTGAAAATTTTCGATGCTTATGTACCGGTGAAAAAGGAATGGGTAAACTTGGAAAGCCACTTCATTATAAAAATTGCAAATTTCATCGAGTTATTCCAGAATTCATGTGTCAAGGAGGTGATTTTACGAATGGTGATGGAACTGGTGGTGAATCAATATATGGTGAAACATTTCCAGATGAAAATTTCATTGAGAAGCATACTGGACCAGGAATTCTATCAATGGCAAATGCAGGTCCAAATACAAATGGTTCACAATTTTTTCTCTGTACCAATAAAACAGATTGGTTAGATGGTAAACATGTAGTATTTGGGAAAGTAATCGAAGGAATGGAGGTAGTAAAGAAGATTGAAGCTGTTGGCTCAGAAGATGGTAAAACTTCACAAGAGGCAGTAATTGTAAATTGTGGTGAATTATGAGGAAAAGTTGACATTATCGATAAGAAAAAATTTATAATGAAAAAAACAAAGCTCAAAATAACTTCATCATTTATGAAAATTGATAATTTTGTAATTTTTCTTTCATTTCTTTTACCTCAATTATTATCAATTAAAACTAAAAATATAATTATCTAATGCAGTAATTGATTCCAATAAGTTTGCAGCAATTTTTCTGACAATAAATTCCAAATTTCGTCAGTAAATTTTACAAACAAGAAACAGTATCCATAATGTAGTATCTCAATCTACTAGTTTTTGCTTCATTTAGAAAAAAAAAAATCTTGCAATTTCATTTTTAAATGAATACTACAGAAATATACAAATATTCTAACATCGTTAAAATATAAAAAACAGTGAAGAATAAAGAACGAAGAATAAAATGTTTTTTTTATCGTAATTACAATGGAATTATTTTATGCTTAGCAACTTTTAAAATAGCATATAATTTACTCAATTAATCATTCAAAAAATCATAATTCTATCAAACGGCCATAAAATGCGCTTGAAAAATTCAAAAATAACCTTTGCTCTTCCAAATGGTACTACTTTTTTGCCATCTTTGTACCAATTTATTTGAAATGATGTATCATGTGGTTCAACAGATCCCGAACAACGAAGTCGAACTGTCATCCCAAGCATACCTGTGATCCTTTGCACCGTACGTTTGGTCATCAAAATTGGTGCCACTAAATTTTATGCAGTTAACATCCATTTCTACATTCCAACAAAAACAATTTTCTTTTTTTTTTTTTTTTTTATAAAAAACTACAGCACAAAATTAAATTTCAAAAACATCCATTTTACAGTTATGATTGAAATGTTTGATTGCTATATAAATAATTTATTCTGAATTTATTATAATTTAATATATTGTAATGATAATGTTGTCTAAGTTATATTTTGTACATTTGTGTATTTGTGTAGAGTAAAGATATAACGCTTTCATTTTAGTTGTTTTAATGATGAAAAAAATTTATGCGCATTTATCAAATAACCTTGAACTGTGACAAATGTTGAAATTGTTTGTCGAACTGTTTTCCCAACGGTAACACAAGTATACCTACCATTATCTTGAGTATTGGCTGAATGAATTACCATTGCACTACGTGTTTTCACATCATCCCTTTGATATTCTGCAATAAAATCAACAAAATGAAAAAAAAAAAAAACTATAAATAAATATGCCAATCATGAGACATTCCCAAATCTACAAATGTTACAATTACATTACCCCCTTTTCATCCCTTTTTTTTTTTTACTCTTTTCAACATTGAAATTTAAATAAAACGTCCTTTTTCAATTCAGTTAAACAAAAATGAAATCCGATTCAGTTAAACAAAAATGAAATTCAAAATATTTAGCATCTATGATACAAAAATTTGAATTATTTTAACGGCTTTATACATATATACAAACAGAATTAAAAAAAAAATTCTTTAAATAAAAAAAAAAAAGAAATTCTTTAAATTCTCGTGGAACTTTTTAAACAGAACTATTATTATTGCAAACAATAACATTGCACTATTAGCGCAACAAAGATTATCCACCAAATTGATGCAATAATAGTTTAATGAATAGCATATTTCATTTATTGGACTTGCTTAGAATGAATTTAATAAGAATCAAAAATCGATTTTCTCGTTTCTTACTAAAAAGTTAGCTTCGACTAAACTAACCATTTCATACAATTTTTAGTACTAATTTTTAGTTCTTCAAATATTAGTAAAAATCAAATAGAGAACATACTTCGAATAGGTTGTCCATATTCATTTACAACATGCCACGATGAAGTTGAATGTGGATCATCCAAAAGACATTCCAATATAACACTTTCACCAATAGGAACTAACAATTCTGACGGAAGGTCGGTTAACATCACTGAACTTTCAGTTGCATGCTTATCTGAAAGAATCGAAAGTATTTGAATGTCGCATTTTTTTAGACTTATAATATAAAAGATATTTGAATATTTAGAATAAAATTTTTTCTATATGTCTATTCCACTATTATGAAACGTCACTCCCTTTAATAGAAAATTTACTAAAAAAGTTTAAAATCAGAAAATGCAAGGAAAGTCCGATCAATCATTGTCCTCGTATTCTTCCTCTTCCTTTTCCTCCTTACCTCTTCTTCATTATAAAATTAGGAAAAAAAAAGTCAAAAAATTTATCAAGGACAAATGCAAGCAAAACTAATTTATCATTCTATAACAATTTATTACGATTAGAGTAAAAATGATTATCAATCAGAAATGAATAAACAGAGTGATACAAACCGTCGTCAAAAATAACAGTTATGACTGCTATATCACTAAATATACTTCCACTACGACAACGATATTGGCCGCTATCATTCAGATCTACTCCTATTGAATGCAATACGGATTGATGTTCAGTGGTATATCTATAAAAATCAATTTTGAAATGAATAAAATACTCTAAAGAAGACATAAAAGAAATTAAATTCAAACATAGAAGATTAACAGTCGCAAAGAATTTCACTGTTTCACTGTTTAAAATTCAGTTTTGGTATGTTTTCGAGCTAAATTAACATAATGTATCAAAAAACGGATGATAAGACTAATAAATAAAGCTAATAAAATTGATAAAAAGATAGTTTTAAATTCATTAAAAAAAAAAATAAGAATACATCAATTACTCACATATGAATATTATTATCTTTATTTGCGTCAACTAAAATTTTCGTATCATTTTGATACCAAATAATTTGTTCAGGAAATGAACCACTTGTTGCACATTCCAATCGGAAAACCGAACCATTTGATACTGTTAAGCTGAAAAAAGAAGTTAAAGTGAATTCGATTATCATCCTTTTAGCACTAAATAATAATATTATTAATTTCATAAGCAAATTAAATGATTAAAATTGACAGTAGCCAATTCTCTATTTCCATCTATATTTTACTGTTCACAGAATATTAACACTATTATTACTATTATTATTATTATTACTATTATTATTATTAATCTATTGTCAATAGGTAAAAAGTTTGCATCTTTTGACGAAAATTAACATATTATCATTAAGGGAATATAATCACAATACAATATTCAATTAATTATACGTTATACTTTATTCTGATAAAGATAATTATGTTAAATAAACAAAATTCATCGTAATTTTCAAATAAATACTGATAACTAAATGAAAAAAAAAAAGTTAATAACACAATCAAAAAAAAAAAAATTACTTTTTTGGATGAAGAGTAAAATGAATTGGTATGGCACGCTTCACAATGAGCGCATTACTTAGCACCTTCCCTGGAGGCATTTCAGCTGAACGTTTTATTCGATTATTTAAAAGATAACTATCTAGAAGATCAGTTGATACTATTGCAACATCAGCTACACATCGATATAATCCCTGCAAAAAATTGAAAATTATATATACATATACTTAAAAAAAAAAAAATTTAATATAAATAAGCAGTGAAAAATTTCTGTAAAACGATATCGTTTTACAAAAAGCTTTGTAGTTTGTTTTTATATAGCAGAAAGTATGAATGAATTTTTTCAATGAATGTTCTTTTATCTAAAATTTTACCATTTATTGCTAAAAAAAAACAGAAAAAACAAATTTAAACTTTGTTTTATATTAAAGAAATGAGAATACATATAATAATGCTACTAAATTCAAGAAATTGCTACTCACTAAATTTTGGCTATTCAATATTAAAACCGATGAATTAGTTGTAGTGATAAATTCGTTATCTTTCCACCATATCACATCCATATCTTCACCTAATCCAAGTAAACTAGCTCGACATGTTACAGTTAATTCGTCTTCTGGTTGTAATTCGATTACATATATTTGAGCCGATTCTGTCGTAAATAATTTGGTCACACTGTTATGAATAATAATAAAAGTAAAGAGTACAAATTGTCCGCTATAGTATTGTTGAGGTTGATCGTTTGATGTGCTACAAAAATTAATTCATTCATAAATTAAAAATTTTTTTTTAGAATTAAGTTGCTATCTTAATTATATGGAAATGTTTCAAATTCTTTTTTTTTTTTTTTTTTTTAACAGAAATGTTTTAACATTTTGCAGAGATAATGATGACATAAAATGATAAAAAATAGTGAATTCATTAATAATTCTAAAATTATTAAATTTATAATTTGAAACTAATCTGCAAACGAATGAATTTCCGAATTTATTTGAAAAGAACTACTTTTCTGTACTGAAATATAAAAGAAAAAAAAAAAAGCTCATATCACAATGAAATATTCGATTTTTTCGAATATAGATTCTGAATACCTCGAAATGATAAGTAACTTATAATAATAATAAGAACTGAATTCCAAAAGTGCACCAATGATTTAAAATATCATTTAATAGAAACTAAGCAGAAGATTAAGCAATCATTGAGGAGAAATAAAAATTCCATACATAATCTCTCCTTAATAAACCATCCATCTTTTCAAAAGAATCTATCTGACTTTTACAAAAGTGAAATATTCACTTTCTCCTCACACAAACTAAACTTATTTTCTTTTTTTAAATCATTAATTAAGCAAAAGTAAAAATAATAGCAGTAAGAAGAAAGAGGAGTAATTAAATTTTAACAGTGTAGTTGAAAAAAAAAAGCCCGACATATAGACCAATCAATTTAATGGTTGAATAGAAGAAGTGAATGATAATTTCTACTATAATTCTTTTTCAAATAGTTCAAATCAGAGCAATTGCCATCATTAAAGAATATAACATTAAGAGATGATTTCTAAATATTAAATAATATTTATAGTAAAACTTAAAACAAAACAAAAAAAAAGATAAATATACCTTTCTGTGTTTTTCCACTTATCGAATATGATTTCATTTCCTAATAATGTAGTATTTAAAATACTGATACTAGCTATACTATTACTGTTACTTCTGTAGTCGCTGCTTCTCTTTTGCTTGGTCCTAATTAACACATCATTGCTTTTCTTCCACATATAATGTTGAATATTATCAACTTTTGGTGAATAACCAATTTTACCTACAATAAATATCGAATATTAATTAATTTGTTAAACAAATGAAACTTAGCATATAAGCTTATAAGTAATAAGATAAACAAATTAAGTTAAAATAAAAAAAGATGAAAAATTTTTTCCAAAAAGGAAATCTCATCATCCATATATTTTCTCTGAATTTTGAACTAACAAATAATCATTAATAAAATGAGAAGTTATAATTATACTAGAAATGATTTATAACTTACCTTTATCTAAGAATGTTGCTTCAATGGGTATAAATATAATTTCGAGTTGCAAAAGAATGGTAAATATTATAAAAGAGAACGAGTAGCCACGTTCACACTTTGACAATTTTGACTTTGGAATATACTGTTGAACCAATTCTTCTCTAAAATTTTTTTTTTCCTTCATTAATTATGATTTTGAAAAAAAAAAAAAAAAAACGAATAATTGCTAAGTTCAATTGCAATTATATTACAATTAAATGCTGATTTCCAATGGGAAAAAAGAAAAAAAAAACATAACCTGAGATGGTATTTAGAGGAAACCAGTCTCATTTTTTTTCTTTTTTTTTTTTGTACAAACTTTGAAAATGATAAAAATGTAAACATGTAAAGAACAACTGGTTTACAGCTGAGAAATAATTGATCAATTGAATTATTCAAATTCTTTATGACTATCTTTATATTAAGTATTATTATAATAACACTGAGAGGTAACCAATGATAAATTTTATTTATTAATTATCACAAAATAAATTTCAAATCATATTTATTAGAAAAAAAAACGAAACCTTTCGAAATTTGTGACATCCATACCAGCTGCTGAATAAGGTAAGGATGGTTCGTTGTTAAAAGGGACCATCGATATTTGTGGCTTCCACACATCATCAACATTGAGAAGCAGCGACCCACTAAAATAGATTATCATAAATACTGATTTATGCAAATCAGCTCATAATCCTGTCAGCTACCCAAATATTTTCAATGTTTGAAAATTTTAATTTAGCTACGAAACTTTTTATTTCATTTGTTTAAAATTTATATTATTTTCACAGCTTATAGTTTCATAGTTTTTTTTTTTTATTTTTTTCATAGTTTATTTTTCATTTTTTCATAGAATTATAATTCATAGTTTACGAGACTCAATCATAAATGAGAATTGGGTAGAAACTAACTTGACACGAAATAAATATTAGACTTTGATTTCTCTTAATGAAAAATAAATTAAATATTACGTGACTACAAGTGCAATCAATAATTTTATTCGATGTAAATTGGTACATATGTACTTACTTGATAGTAATATTTATCATTTAGGTAAATTATTAACATAACCTATTCTGTTTTTTTTTTTTTTTTTTTTTGTTTTCAATAGTTTTAAAGATAACAAAATTTTCAATAAGAGCATATTAAATTCTTAATTAATCATCAAATAATTTTAATAAAATTATAACACTTAATACTAATTAGCTATCCTAAAAATCCTAATAATAAAATGAAAAAAAAAAAAAAAAAAAAAACAATAACAAACCTAGAAGCCTCAAAATGAGACTTGTCTTTTTTCTTTTTGACAAACAACACAGTAGATTTATTCAGCTTTTGATGTAAATAATAAATAAGATGCCCCGATTGTTTACACGCCTCTTTGCTACGTTCACTTTGTATATTCGTTTTCCTCTATAATTTAATTCTTAGTCTGAAATTTATCATTCCAATTAGATAATATTATAAAATAATAGAATAAGTTAACAATTTATCTTCAATAATATCAAATATTTCAACAAAAAAAGAAACAAAAAAAGGACAAAAAAAAAAATTATAAATCGAATTAAAACTATCCTATTATTTGCATCATTTAGTAATAGAGTACCAGATGTAAATATCAGATATTCCTAAAACATTTTTTTTCTTTTTTTGTTAATTCATCTTTACACTTTTATAGTCTTTGATCAAACTAATCGGTTAGTGATATTTGAACGGTAAATATGGACAATTTCTTTTTCTCATGTTTATTTGAAAATATTACATACATTAAAAGTGAAATATCTAACACATTACTAATTCATAAAGTTTCCGAAATTTTTCAAACCAAAAATTTTTTGGGGCAAACGAATGTTCATTTATGTTAATTATTACAACTGAAATTTAAGTTAATATTTTTGCAATGAATTTACACTTTTAAGTTAATATTTTTGCAATGAATTTACACTCTTCAGTTAGCAGAATTATTTTCTATAAATTGCTTTATTTATTTATTATTTATTATTGTCTATCTTAATCATTTCGAAATGTTCCCTCAAATTTTTGTACATTCCTAAAAATTTCTTAAACATTTCGCACAAAAATGCAATCAATCAGCAGCAAAAAAAAAAAAAAAAATCAATTATTCTTTTATTATATAAGAAAGAAACTGATCAATAAACGTTAACAACAAAACAAAAAACAAAAAAAGAAAAAAATAAAATTCAAAAAGAAGAAAGTCAAGTATGTAAAGAAAATATGTCGTATGCATAGATTGTTAATATTATTCTAAACTATCTGTAATATATTATCAAATTCAAAAAAAAAAAAAAAAAACGAACTTTTACGGCTAAAAATTTTCGATAAAATTTTATTTAATTGAATATGAAACAATAATGAATTCTTGATCATATTCTAAAATAAGTATTTAGACAATTTTAAAATCAGAAAAATATATTCAAGGAATAATATGCAAGAAATATTTTATCGTATCTTTTAAATAAGACAAAAAAGAAAGAATTATCTCGGGGAAAAAACAAAACAAAAAAACCAAAAAAAAAAAACTTTAAAACATCTTGATGGAATGAAACAAATAACTGACCTAAATTTCTAACATAAATTTATTGCATACAATTGAAAATGACGTATGTACGATACAAACTTGAATGTATCATTCGTAAAATGTACTTATGAATATGATAATAATATATTCTATTCTAATTTTCCTTTTTTTTGTAAATTATTAAATTAAAACTAAATCATTTTGCATCTCATAAGTGATCAGATATATTTGAATTATCTATGATAATCACAATAAAAATTACACCTAAAACAATGTGAAATATAAAAAGCAAAGAAAAAAAAAAATTTTTTTTTTCTCCCTACTACAATGATTATCAATTCTTATCAAAAAAAAAAAAAGAAAAATCTCCTTTTTATAATTATTATCAATTCTTATCAAATTATCTCATTAATACACTAGCAATATTGGATTAGAAATCATTAAAATATGAAGACTGATGAATAAATGTTGTTAGTATAATTTTCTTTTTTTATAAACTTGAAGAAATGATCGTTGTTTTTTTTTTCTTGGAATAGTAAAAAAAAAAAAAAAATTTAAGTAAATAATAGGAATAGTAAAAAACTTAGGTAAATATTACTCATTTATGACAGATTATTGGGTAAACGAAATATTTGTTATGTATAACTAAAATAATAATGATGAATGATAAAAAATGTAAAAGAGAAAACAAAAATTATTATCATCATCTTATCATCCATATTCATCAAATAAATATTCACCAATAAGTCAACATTATCTTAACTGTCTTTATTATTATCACTGTTATTATTATTATTGTCATTATCATTATTATTATCATTATACTAATTATTTTGTCATCATTATCAAAAAAAAAAGAAAAAGAAAGAAAAGGAAAGAAATGTTTGCAGCAGTGACAATGACAAAGGTATGTCAATGATTTGTTACAAGCTTTGACAAACAAATCCTATAACTAACTATACAGTTTGTAATACCTCACTTTTTCCTAAATCATCTCTCAATTTCACATCCATTTCCTACAACTTTTATTCTTCTCTTTTCCTCCTTTTTTTTTTCCTCTCTCTCTCTTATTTACTTACTTCTTCTTTTACTATTTTCATTCATTTTATCATCATTTTATTCGTAATGTCTCATCCTTTCTTTCATCTGCAACATTTCCTGAGTTTTCCGAAACATATGCAAACAAATGTTGAAAGAATGAATGGTGTGTGTGTGTAAGTAAGGTGACGATGATAGGACATAATGTCACATCCTCTACAGCTGTCAATTCTTATCCATCCAAGTAGCATAACTAACACATCATCATCATCACTGGTCTATTACTGTCGATAACATCATTATCATTAACAATATCGTCATCATTATCATCATCATCATCACCATTATTGGTCTGTTACTACCGATAACATCATTACCATTAACATTATCATCATCATCATCTGATTTGTTACTATCGCTATCATCACATAACCACCATCAACACCATTATCATTATCATCATCTTCACCATCATCATCATCACTACTGTCATTATCATTACCAGCACTACCAACATCACCACCATTCACCAAACAATATCATCACCATCAACAACAAACAGCAACAATATATAAGTATTTACAGAAAAGAAAAAAAAAAATGTACTATTCTAAAAAGATACAAAAATTTTAATCAGAAAAGAATTAAAATGTGAAATGATTAGAGGAATGAAAGAAGACTGGTGACAAGGACAGACACATTTTGTAGTAGTATACCGGCTGTCATTGGCTTCAATGGTTAAGACTGATTGCTGATAGATTAAATCGATGAGTGGCAGGCATCGTTTTTCGAGAAAAGGACGAAAAAATTTGTAGGCATGTTGTACATTATGTATATATGTATACCCCTGTCAATACAACCACCACTAAACCCTGATGAAATATAAGTGAAGAGGACAGTCCAATGACACATACATACATACACATACATACACATACACACACACACATACACACATACACACACATACAAATAGATACACAAAACATATGTATAATATATACATATGCATACTATAACAGTAGTAAATGGACGATGATGATGATGCCATGTTGAACATGGCGCATTTTGCACTCAACTACCGTTGTTAAAAATTGAAACTAAAATAAAATCGAAAGATTATGACTCAAAGAAAAAGCTATTTGAAAATTAACAATGAGTAACAAAAAAGAAGGAGAGAAAGAGAGAGAGAGAGAGAGAAAGAGAAGGGAAGGAGAAAAAGAAAAAAAAAAAGGATGAAAGAAACGGCCAACACTACTACTAGGCAAGCAAATTCAACTAATCACATAAAAATATACTCACAATTTACACTTTTTCTTCCGTTCTTTCTTACTAATCTTAATAGGCCAATAATATAATAATATAATGTAAACGAGAGTAAAAGAGAGGAAGAGAGAGAGGGAGAAGGAAGGTAAGAGAAAGAGAGAGAGAGAAAGGGAGAAAAAAAAAAAGGGAAAAAAAAATTTAAATAAACATTATTTTCATATTGTACTTTTTTTTTTTTAAATACATTCTTTTTCTTTTCTTTTTTTTTTCTAAACATATCATATATAATTTATATTCTTTATATTATACATTAAATTAATATAATATTCTACAAGTATAATATTCATATAAATATCAATAATTATAAATTATTACTGTAAATATTACCAAAACATATATAATACATATAGGTAGGTACAGGTATCAGTTACCAATTATCTATATGAGATATATGCTACTAAAAAACTGATTTACAGATTATAATTTTATACATGAAATATATTTAAATAAATAGGAAAGACAATAAATAGTATCATTAAAAAAGTTCAAAATTTTTATCAATTTCTTCAGTAGAACTAATTAATAATAATAGTACCTAATAGTAATAAACAAATAACAAAAAAAAAAAAATGTAATTAAAACTAAATTTTCTTTTCTTTTCTGCTTAGCATAATATTATTCGATCTATCAGCAATTATAAAAATCAAATTCATAGCCTTTATCTTTCTCTATTTCTCTTCTTTTTTTTGTCTTAC